GCCGCAAGTTAGCAGCCGACAGCACATGCAAGAAGAAATCATCGAGGAGTGCGGCTACAGTGTAAAAGAAAGCGACCTGCAGTTTATTAAAAAATTTGTGTAAGCATTTTTGTTGTGGTAATTTGAAGGTCTTGAGCTTACGTCCCTCGAAAAAGGGAGCCATTGGCCTGACTTGATGGCTGATGGTTGCTTTTGGCACCTGTAAACATTCGAGCTACTTTCGAGTGCCCACACCTCTCAGACGGTGTGAATGCGGAGGAGATTTCAACCTTACTTTGTGAGACAGCATTGCATGGAGCTGTTTGCTTTTGGCAAAACTTTATCACTTGGACCAGTTCGGATTGGTTGTGTCTTTCTTGGTTAATTGAAGAACGGACGGGTTTTTTTTGACTTCTGCCATTTTTGCCTCTTCATTATGGTGATTTAAATAAAGTTCAGGACAGGTATCGGCTCATCTGGAGCATCACAGGAAATATTTTACGCTGAAATAGACGAAACAATGAAAGTTAGTGAGGGAGGCGGAGTAGATGCCGAAAAGATCGACAAGGTAGCTGTTGTTTCCTTATTATCTATCTTGCTAGGCCTAAGCCTGTGCGCCACCGAGTGTTTTGGAAGTTTTTATATCGGAATAGATTTAGATATGGTTCTGAATCCGAGAATTCCTAGCTTTATCAAATCGACACTTTGTCCTCAGTTCCGTATAAGTTGCAGTGGCTTGTTGGAGCAACAGTGTAAAAAAGTATTTGCGTTTGAAATGGCGTCGCTAAGTTCTGTACATAGACAAATCCTGGACGAACTCCTTGGGGGAGGGAAGAGAAGGCGACGGGAGATGGACGGAGAGAACTGCCTCTCATCCTGGAACTATTCAAAAACAAAAACTAGGAATAGCATACTTAGAGTTAATTAGTTTAGAGTTACTTTAGGCTTTAGCTTACTTTAGTTTTAGTTTTAGACCCGGGTTTTTGCAGCAAAGACCCTTTGCACCTCTCCCCCCCCCCCCCCCCCCCCCCCCCCCCCCCCC